GGGGGGGGGGGGGGGGGGGGGGGGGGGGTGGGTAATAGGTTCATAGCCAGGGAGAAACTAATCAAAGTCTATCTACTGTGGCCTATCCGATACCAATTAAATAAGTAAAAAACAACTATGAAAAAAAACAAAAACAAAACAAAAAACATGCTCCACTACAAGGCTCAGTCAGAGGGCATATAAGAGAGATTTCTGTAGCCATGTTTTTTGCAAATCCAGACAGATATGTGTGTGTGTTAATGTTGCTTACATCTTTCCCTACCCACCCTCCCCATCTCATTTCCCATAATTCTCTCCGTGACATAAAACACAATTACATTTGAAATCAGCGTGCGCGGTAGAAGTTGTTTTCCGTGGTCGGTTAATTTTCTAGATTTCTTTCTGGCCACCTGCAGCAAAGTTTTCCGGAAAGCATCATTATGCCTTAGATCATGAAGGAAAAAGTCTCACGACTGGCAAAGTCTGCCGTCGTCCAATATGTTACCGTATTTGGTCTCATTTTGGCTAAACGGGCGAGACACTGATCTCGGGCTTAAGACGGAAAGGCATTATATTGAGAGCTTTGATGTGGGCGGTGACGAGTTTCTGGCCTCAAAAAGTAGTCTTTAGAAGTCAAATCTATTCGGCCAGAGCAAGATTGAGGCTGATTTCTGACCAGGCCAGAGGCTTGGTTGAAAATTGTTTTGATGGCCGGCCTGTATGAGTCCCTCTCAACTTAAAACGGCTGAGTCAGGGAAGTTTACATTTGATGATTGATGTGGAGAAAGCGAGAGTTATTGAGTGAGTCAAAGTAATTTGATGATATAAGTGTGGAAACATTGTGCCTGGTTGGTTTTGGATAGTTTTATCAGTGCCGCGAACGTGGTTAATTGTGTGATTTCCTGAAGTTGTTGACAGACAGAATTTACAGATATGTCGTGCTGCTCGTGTTAATATAAGAATATTGTATACATGCATGAAAACGCTTCGTGAGTGTTTTAGTGTTTTGTCTTAGACAACCGATTCTGGGCTCAAGAAAGGTAAATTCCAGCTCTGTTTTAGTCGGGCATCTCGCCGTAAGCCTCATAATTTGAGAGACCGAAAGGTCGGTTCGGAGAAGCAAATATTGCCTATAATTTTCTATTGCTTGAGGACGGCTATAAATTTCTAGATGACCGTTCCATTCATGTACAATTTTCGAAACTTATCTCATAAATTTCCTACGATTTTCTGACGATTAATTTTTCACATTTCCCTGTAATACTGTTTTTCGTGGAAAGAGGAAACCTTAAATTTCCGGATTCAAATGTGTGATTGAGATAGGGATCAGAAAAATTCTCTCACATTCGTAAAGCTATAAATTGCATCAGAAATTTTCTGGAAAGGAATACTGAACCCCGTGAAATTTCGAAAGACCCAAAGTCCCTAGGATTACCGAACAGTTACAAATTTGATAGCGCCGCTAAGAATGTATTTCTAGACATCTAAAACTGCTCTGGATAGCCTAAAAAGTGTTTTTAACGTATTTAGGAGTCGAGGAAATCGTCGCTGTGTGCCCCTGTCAAATTATTAAAACGCACTTGAAATTTCTGTAGGTACCTTTTCATAAATTCAGATAGATATATGTTACATTTTCCTTTTCTGCATGAGGAATGAAGAGTTCAATTTATTTTTCAAAGTAAATACAGATCAGCTTTTCAACCTTCAGAGGCATCGATAATAGTCGAAAAATCCCATGATCATGTATTTATTTATGTTTACGTTCGTTTTTATTCTTATTTTTATTGTTGTTATTATTATTATTATTTCACAACGCTTGGAAGTATTCAACAACTTGACCCACCAAACCCCTTCCCCCCCCCCCCCCCCCCCCCCCCCCCCCCCCCCCCCCCCCCCCCCCCTTTCCACCTTTGGTTTTTTTTTGTGTTCCTTTTTCTACCCCCCCCCCCGTGCCCCCTTTTTGGCTAGGTTTCTCTTAGCTACGTCTCTTCTGTCACTTTCTCTTTTTTTTCTTCTTGCTTTCTCTTCCTTCCCCACCCCTCACATTACTTGTGCCATTCT